GAAGTTTAATTGAATTTTAATAAAGATAGAGGCATGGCCTCACCTTTGAAGATTTAAAAAAAAAAAAAAAAAAAAATCTATTTAGTGATTCGGCCAGAGATGAGGCTTGTAAATTAGCTTTATATATCGCCGTTGAATTTATAAAATATTTAGAAAGAAAAAGACAAGGAAAGTTCCTTGTGAGATTTCTCGTGACCTGTGTAAGATTGATGAAAAGAATCAATTTGTATCGATAGAAGGTGAAGAACTTTTAGATTTCGTGCATTAAGCTACTTTTAGTGATCTAATATTGCGTCCCATAGATGGCGAAATTTACAAATTTGAAGTAAAAGACGGCTTATAATGAGCATTTGTATGATATTATAATGGGTATTTTACTCTTTTTTTTACTGCTTGAATTGTTTATTATAAAATTTTGATTTATTTGAGCTCGATAAATTTACAGAACTTTTGGGCTTCTTGGTTCGAAGAAGAACTTAGTTTTATAAAAAAGATACTACTTTTTGCCGCTACAAAAAATGATATACATACCAGGATTTATCTGACGTGTACTGATAAAGTGAAGAGGCTTGAGTCTGCTGGTGCACAGCTTTATTACAGAAAGTTATGATTATAATGCGATTACCAAGTTAGTTATAGAGGCTAAATTATTATTTATTCCATTATTAGTAATTTAATTATAGTTAATAATATTTGTCTTATTTGTTATAATATAGATTTACCATAGCTTGAGTGGTGATCAAATTTTAATTATATCTGGTACTGCACAAGCTAAGTTTGATTTTATGACCGAGATAGATTTTAATGTAGGAAATATGTATATATTTATCATGTTTCTGCCTATTAAAGTATTTAATAATAAAGAATGAAATTTATTATACAATTCTTACATGCCAATGATAAACAATTTAAGGCCGAAGATGCAGTGGCTATTTACTTGGTGCCTATTATTACGGGATACATTATTATTTAAGATAAACAAAATGTAATAAATACGTCTATAGTTAATTTTTAAGTTGTTATATATGGCCAATTTTCAATGTATTTTAAGAATATTTACTTTATAAACATCCCATTATTATCATTACGGATGTAATCTTTTTATCTAAAAAACAGTGTGAAAAACTATGCTTATCTAAATTCGTGGAACACTTACATTATATTCGCGAATAACATTTTATATCTCTCTTAATGGAGTATTTTTCTAAATTGATATAATGATGGTTAGACTTAGATGCGTAAAATGGTAATACTATAGTAAACATGAGTGCTGCCAAGAAAAATGAGACTTCGGGTTTATCATTTATTATTTACCGAATTTAGCTCTACTGGTAACATATATAATCTGCAAATAATAAATAAAGGCCCGAGGTTTCATTTTCCTTGGCAGCATTCATATATAGTCAAACCTCTCTATAATCAAACCCATAGTTTTAAGAACTTAGTTATTATAAACAGTTTGTGCTTATATAGAGTTAAATTTTATAAATATTATATAAGTTGGTTTTAAAAATTTATATAATTATAAGCAAATGTACCTATAGAGGAGGTGTCTATAGAGAGATCTGACTGTAATGTATAATAATGTACACTATTTCTTTACAAATAAATAAATACATATATCAACTATAAAAAATAGACATTTACAAATAGTAAGATTATTTTTCACTTCAAAATTTTATTATAGCATTATGTAAAATATCATAATACTATAAAATGTTAATGAAATGCAGAATAATACTGTGAATGATGCTAAAAATGCATTAAAACTTACTGCTTCCCTTAAAACAATAGGTAAAGGGATATTTGTAACATCAAAATGAAATCAAATTTCTATATTTTCCTTAATATAAAAATATTGAGGTTTATAGACCTGATTAGAATTTAAATTTTGGATAAAGTGTAATAGCCGATTTTCATAACTGAGAATTTCGAAAATTGCAGACTTTCTATCCGTGCTTTTACCATCGTCCTTCATTGTTTTCCTGAAAAAGACGGATACTTAGTCGTAGTTTTTTTTCTCAACAGCAGCGCACGAAAATGCTGCCAAACCGAAGCATTGATGTAGTTCAATGAATTCTGGTATATGATTAATTAGGATGTATATGTATGGTATAACATCTTTGGGGCAATAAAGCCCTTTTTTAAAAGATGTGGTATTTGGTTCGCCTTGGTGGGGCGTAAGGAATAAGTTGAACCATTTTTTTGCCTGGGTGGAGAAAAAAGTTGATTCGGTTTTTCTATCATTTATAAGCTTGTAAAGTGAATAAAAGTCTCTCCACAAGCGATTAAGTAACATAGCTCTTTCTTCACTAAAAATTACTCCAAAATTAAAATCACGCAAAACCTTTTCTTTATCACCTCCTATAAGAGGTGTGTAAGACCAACTCTGTATACTATAGTCCGGCCAAAATTGAAATCCAACCGAGATTCTTTTTATTTCTATGCTTATAATTGCCCTAGTATGAGTGTTGTATCTATTTTCTGACTTTAACTCTTGGATCACTAACTCCCAAAGCCTATCCCAAATTCTTAACATTATGTGAAGTTCATTAGGCACATAATGATTTAATGGTATCATGAGAAGAAGAGGAGGTTTAATATGTCTAGGTGGTGGTAAATTTAAAGTTGGAGTGGAGTTATTAAAAAATTCTTCTTTAAGTTGATCTATGTTTTTTTTAATTCTATACACCTTGTCTTTATTACCAATATCTTTCTTCGTACATAGGCACCAAGGACAAAAAAAGTTAGCATTAGACGCATTAAACCCTAATATAGTAGCCATGAACTTCCAGTCGCTACTAAAAAATAATTGGACTTTCCATTTAATTCCACGAGAATCTTCTAGCCCATTAACTATTAAGCTATACAGTTCACTAATTAGTGATTTCATTATTTGTTGCAACACCTTGTAGTTTTCACCTCCCAGATACAAAATTACGGTATGATGTGAGTCCGCCTTGTGAATGTTTGAAATATCATCTAAAATAATACACGTTACCATCATGTGCTTTATTTTTCTACCTACGTTGCAGCCGTCTCCTAATATTTGGGATGGTAAAAAAAAAAGTCTTCTTATTTATTTCTATATTTAAAATAGGTAATGATTAAAGCCTGAATGGTTAAATACATTCAGATCATAATTATTACCCGTTTTTAAATAGTAATAAAAAGCATTTGTCATCCCACCTGATAAACGAACATGAATTACTGGATTATTTATATTGAGAATATTTTGTTTAACAAGATCTGGAATTATAAAGAGCAAAATATTTGTAATTCGTCTATATCCAGCTTTTCCAATGTATTTAAACATCTCCTCTTCGATTTCTTGATCATTAATATGAGGTACTTCATTTGTTGTTACAAGAGGTACATTCTTAACATTTACAATATTAATAGGAACTTTTTCATCCATTTTCTCATTTATTTTTTTTCTTATGCCTGAAATGTTGTGATCTCGTGGTAATTCTGGTTGGAGTACAGCTAATTTTTGGTAAGCATTCCGAGAAATCTGATCTTGATCAATAACTTTTACAAATGTGTCAAAAGAGTTGGTCTTTTCTTTATTATGATAATTGGCCAAGTAGTCCTTATCTTGAACATGGAATCGAACTTCTTGTAAAACTGGTTGATCGATAGAATTAAAAAAGTTAGGGATCTCATTTTTAAAGGCTTCGCCTAATTGTATAGAGAATGCACGGGAACACTTCGTTTTCATGGATTCACTCAATGTATTAAATGGTCTAAAAGAAGAAGACCAATTTTTTCTTTCACGTTCTCTTTTTATATCCAGAATATTAAGGCAAAATACATGTACACCAGATATTCTTGCTTATGGATTATTTGAATTTTTTTTCTACATAGAAATAAAAAAAAAATTAGAATAGATATTTATAATAAAAATTTTTATTAAATTGAACGGACCCATAAATAGTTATTAGCTGCGGCACTTGGAGATTCCTTAGATTCTATAATATATTGTTGAGAATCTTCTTGAAATCTAATTCTAAAAATTGGTCCATTTAACTCATATTTAATTTTACATTCTATTATATGTTTTGATTTATTCCTTCCCCAACTAGTTTGAACCAAATAGTTATCTGGAATTTTATATTGACCCCCATTGTGAGAACGCACTGAAGTATAACATAGTTTATCTTTTGGTGGATAAAATCCTTCATTAATAATGTGATACTTGTAAGTAGTATTATTTTGTTTAACTGAGAAGGGGTTATTATCAGAATATTTATTTTGACTAAGAGACATCATGCATATGCTAAAAAGAATTTTTTTTGCTTCAGGCATAAAACACGGAAAAACGTAATAGATCCAGGTAATATAAAAAAAGTTAAATTAGAATTAGATTAAGGTTTAAGTTTTTGTGTAATTTAGTTTAAATTACAACCGGTTTGTTTAATCAGTTTGGTTGAAACGTACAAAATATATAACAGGTTAAATAAGAAAAAATTCTTTTTATTTCAAAATTTTATCTATGAAACTGCTCTTGGTACTAAAGAAAATTCTATATATTGATTTTAGTATAAATTTACTTAAGCTAGTTCTAAATTAAAATCTATCTAATTAATAAAGTTCATATAAGCCGATGTTAATCAATTAGTCATACGTATAACTTGTTACACTATAATTACATGCTTTTTTAGTATTTATAGATAATCAACCAACACAAATCTGGTTTTATATTTTTAACGAGATATGGTTTTAAG